CACGGCGCTCGGTGTGGTGGCGCACCCAGCCAGCGGCCGCTGCCGAGGGGAAGCTTGCGTAGGCCGAAACGCACAGGAAACCTTTTAACCTGTTAAGAAACAGGCCTTGGAAATACTCTTGAGTTTTGCCCTGTCGTTGCGTGGATTAGCAGGGTGTCGATGCGTAAAAGTGGTTTGATAGTCCGGTCCCATGCTGCGTTCTTCATCTTCTTCCATAGCATCCACTGCTTTCCCTTGTAAGACTCCCAACGGTCAAACTCCCCACGTGCCCTTCGACGCTCTGATGTGAATGCATGCAGTCGCCCTTTCTAGTGCATTTAGTCATCAGCACATAAATCTTTGCTTCTGCACCCTTTTCAGATAAATTTGGTACAAATTAAGTTTCAAAAAGTTAATAGCAATCACAGGTTTTTCTAAAAATATATTGAAAAACCACTGGAAGTTTGCACGGTTTTAAACCTTGGGATAGAAATGGCATCTTTCAGGTAAACTTACATGCTTCTGTCAAAATTTAAGCCGTTAGGTTTAGGGTTTTTGAATAAGGAATTGATCTGGAAAATGCAATTTCTGTTTATCGTGTTTGTGTATCATCTCCTAGTATGAAAGGTTAAATTCTTACTTTAAAGGTAAAAATTCATTGTGAATGTAATTAAGTAGATAAGACTAGCTGGTGTCTTCCAGAATATGATTATCTGATCTCTAAATACAACTCAATTTCAATGTTTTTCGCACTTAGAAAAGTATTTGGAATACTGACATTTTAAAAATAGTTAAATACATAATCTAATTGCATATTTTAACTAGATAGTTTATAAAACAAGTTTTTAATTTGAAGTCAAGTAAGTGCAAATCTGGTTTAGACCATTTAAACCATCAGTCTCGACCTTCCCACAGAAGCGAAATCTGTTAAAGCACTGTGACTGTGACTTTCATCCTTGGGAGAATTTCCTCTGCCTTGCAGTTTGCTAAGCCTTTCTGAAAACCCATACTGAGGAAATCTGTGGGCTTCTGCAAGGGTGTGGTGTTGCTCTTAACAGCCAAATATGTAAGAAGAGTAGATTTTTCCAATGAAGTTGATAAATCACTTTTCTGATTTGCAAAAAGATAAGTTACATGTAACCTAAGATTATTAAAGAATTAAAGGCTCTAGCCCTACCTAACCTGCAGGAGCTATCAGACTAACTCAAATGTATTATGTCTAATACTAGGTGTCTCTCATTAGTTTGCTGGGGTGCAGTTCTGTGGTATGCTTCATCTGATAAAATGCATCCCTACCCCTTCCACTCCCCCACCATCCTATTTCCATTCCATTTAGTGACATGACAAGTTGGATCAGTGTTCTGACTTTTTATGTTAGGTTATTTTTATGTCTAATGAACTTGCTGAGCTGGTTTACTGCATGAGTGCTTGACATAGCAAAAGGAAATGGGTATAAATAAATGGCTGAAGAAGGAAGAGGAAGA